ATAGCTCAACCCCTTCTGCTAGGCCTGGAAATGACAGGTTAGCGCGATCGCTCTGGCTGGCTGGTCCTAAGTGACAGATAGCGCTCTCTGCTGCGCTGGGTGACTAGTACGCGCACTCTGCTGGCTGGAATTGGACTAGTAGCGCACTGTCTTGACTGGCCTGCGAATCGCACAGTAGCTCGAGCCACTTCTGGCTGGCTGGAGCATTCAGTGACCCGTTAGCTGCGCTCTAGCTAGCGGCTGGAGTGACAGTAGCGACTCTGCTGGCTGGAGTGACATAGCGCACCTGCTGGCTGGAGTTACAGTAGTGCACTATGTGGCTGGAGTGACAGTAGCGCACTCTGCTGGCTGGAATGACAGTAGCGCACTCTGCTGGCTGGAGTGACAGTAGCGCACTCTGCTGGCTGGAGTGACAGTAGCGCACTCTGCTGGCTCTGGAATGACAGTTAGTGCACTCTGCTGGCGCTCGTAACAGTAGCGCACTCTGCTGCGTCTGGAGTACCTACGGTGGCAGCTCTGCTGGCGCTGGAGCACCCAGTAGCGCACTCTGCTGGCTGGAGGACAGTAGCGCACTCTGCTGGCTGGAGTGACAGTAGCGCACTCTGCTGGCTCGAGTTAGTGTTTCTAGTATTGACTAAACTCATATACAAGCCTAGTTTAAATGAAAAGCTTTGTGTCTGTCTAGTTTTGGTTGACATGTGTCTAGTGTGCGGTACAAGCATATTATGATCCATCGGTTTAACATAAGTGACAAGCTCATATCGCCGTTTCTGTATACAGCTTGGCATCGATTCTTAGTATAATGACAGCTTACGTAGATCTACTGAATTCGGGACGATAAGCTAATATAAGTCAGCTCTAGTAGTACTCTAGTGTAGTAAACAGGCATTTTTTTTTTTATTTTTTTTTTTGGCAGTCTAGTGTAGTCTAGTGTAGTTTCACGGCAAGAGAGAGGCATGGAGTGGTATAGGGCTTTTGAATGCTGGCATCTTCATGCGCAGCTCCACAGCACACTTCTACTAGTCCGCTATCGATCGCTGTACGAACGATGTTCAGCTCTAACTGTGTGCCGCGTGCCACTTTCTGATAGCTTTTAGCAGACAGTGCAGTCTGTCATGGTGCGAGGGTGTGTAACTAGTGGCTGCTACGCTACACGGATGCAGGGTTCTTGCGGTGAAAGTAACCTTTTAACCGAGAAGTGCGTGTCATGCGCTCCTTGTATGTCCATCTAATGGTTGGTTCGGCAACAGGGGGAGCGTTAACAAGCAGTGTGACTGCGTGAGGGGTTCTGTGTATACTGCGCAGGGGTGCGTCACTGTGTTAGAGATGGTGATGGTTAGACACTCGCCTTGGTCAGCATCATATATCGGTGCTTTATCATTGCTACTCGATAGTGCTGTCTTAACATGGAATCTGTTTGTTTAATCCTGCGCTACCTCTGCTCTAGCAAGTAGTGTTCGCGGCCATAACTTACAGTACTGCAGGTTACCCTACACACACACACACACACACAACACACACGCACACGCGCACGCACACGACACACGCCACGCTGCGACGCCACGCGCACGCGCGGCGCCACACACACAATCCACACACACACACACATACACGCAGCACACACTAGCAATGGACGTTTGCACCTTTCACCTAGCGTTTGCACTGCGGTGGGGAACAGTGGCAAGAAACTGTGCCGAGACGTATGGCAGCAAAAATAGACAGAATGTCTGGGTCGAGATTTGCCATCGCTCTAAACAGGAGGGAAATTACCAAAAAGAGCGAAGAACTTTTGCGTTTGTTTTTTTTTTGCCTGGTAAGCAATGCTAAAGACTGATCGGCGAAGCTCACTCGAGGTTATCGTGGCCCGCGAAGCGTGTTTGCATTGTTCACTATGTGGTTAGTGTTAGAGTTAGTGCTAGGGAGAGATTGGCGCCCATGATTTTAGCGAGGTTAAACGCTAACGCTACTCTGACCGTATAATCGTAACCCTAAGATTAATCATAGCGTTCATCCTAGATGAATCATCGTGGCTCTCATCAGTCACCGTACTCGACACTGCGCACTGTTAGGAGCTAAAAAGTAATTGCTGAGCTTGTCTCCGCTTTTCGTGGGAGTTGCGAGTTTAGCGCGTGTGTGTGTAGGCGCTGAGACTTACCATCGCGTGGATGACTGTACTAATCACTATCACTGCTGTATCGCCGCCTCCTTGTTTCATGCCGCTCCCTCCCTCCCCGCCGCCGCCGCCGCCGACAGTCGTTTCCTCGCAAATTTGTAAATGGCACTTGCTTGTCTCCTATGACAAGGATCATTATTGCGAGCGAGCTCTGTTCGCAGGATCCTTCTCATGAGCAATCACGTCACCATTGACAAAGTGTGTGTACTGCATGATGAGTCGAGTGTTCTCTTCGCAGTATACGTGCGTGCGTGCGTGGGTGGGTGCGTGCGTGCGTGCGCGTGGGGTGGGTGGGGGTGAGCGCGTGTACGGGTGTGCGTTTAGGTTGGTAAATGCGTGTGAGTGAGCGTGTATGCGTGCGTGCGCGTTGGGGTGGGTGAGCGCGTGTATGGGTGTGCGTTTAGGTGGGTGCCTGCATGTATGTGGATGAGAGCGTGTGAGTGAGCGTGTATGCGTGCGTGCGTGTGTGCGTGGGGGTGGGAGTGGGGGATACGCGTCTACGAGTGTGCGTTTAGGTGGGTTCAGGTAAGTGAGCGTGTATGCGTGCGTGCGTGCGTGTGTGTACGCGCGTGACTATCTGTGCATGTACGTGTAAGTGGGTGTCGGTGTGTGTGCGCTTACGCGTGTGCGTGCATGCCTGGGTGTACGTGTTCATCTACGAATATCTTGCTACTAGTATAGAATGAATCTATGTTTGGCTGAATCCATCCATACGTCTACGTAAACTTATACGTGTGTCCACGCTATATCTCATCTGTGAACTATATATATGCGATAGATGTCGTATGTCGTGTGCACGCTGCCACTGTGGTATCCGTTGGGCGTTCACTCTTTTCTTGTCAATGCGGTGGAGAGATTGTGTGTGTGTGTGTGTGTGTGTGTGTGTCTGTGTGCCGGAAGTCAGTAGATCGGCTATTCTCGTGTTTCTCTCTTATGTACGCTGTCGTGCTGCTGATACCTCATGTAAATTCACAATTACCCTGATCAGTCTCGCTCAATGTGTGTGTCTCCCTCTCTCTCCGGCGCTCTGTCTACTTGCTAGAATACCTTACATTGAGATGCTGTGCCTATTTATGTTCTGTGAATTACCATTATCAAAAATAGATGAAGCGAGTCTTATCTATTTTTGTTATTATATA